GATCATGACCAGGATCAGGGTCCGAGTCGGGATCAGGGTCAGAGTAAGGATCAGGATCAGGGTCTGAGTCAGGATGATGATCGGGAACAGGATCAGGGCCAGGATCAGGATCAGGGTCCGAGTCAGAATCATGATCAGGATCAGAGTCAGGATCATGACCAGGATCAGGGTCCGAGTCGGGATCAGGGTCAGAGTAAGGATCAGGATCAGGGTCTGAGTCAGGATGATGATCGGGAACAGGATCAGGGCCAGGATCAGGATCAGGGTCCGAGTCAGAATCATGATCAGGATCAGAGTCAGGATCATGACCAGGATCAGGGTCCGAGTCGGGATCAGGGTCAGAGTAAGGATCATGATCAGGTTCAGGGTCCGAGTCAGAATCATGATCGGGATCAGAGTAAGGATCATGATCGGGATCAGGGTCCGAGTCAGAATCATGATCAGGATCAGAGTCAGGATCATGACCAGGATCAGGGTCTGAGTCGGGATCAGGGTCAGAGTAAGGATCATGATCAGGATCAGGGTCCGAGTCAGGATCATGATCGGGATCAGAGTAAGGATCATGATCGGGATCAGGATCAGAGTTAAGATCAGGGTCAGGATCATGATCAGGGTCAGAGTCAGGATCATGATCGGGATCAGGATCAGGGTCAGAGTAAGGATTAGGATCAGTGTCCCAGTCAGGATCATGATCGGGATCANAGTCAGGATCATGATCGGGATCATAGTAAGGATCATGATCAGGATCAGTGTCAGAGTCAGGATCATGATCGGGATCAGGATAGGAGTTAGGATCAGGGTCAGGATCATGATTGGGATCAGGGTCAGAGTCAGGATCATGATCGGGATAAGGATCAGGGTCAGAGTAAGGATTAGGATCAGGATCAGGGTCCGAGTCAGGATCAGGATCGGGATCAGAGTAAGGATCAGGATCAGGGTCCAAGTCAGGATCATGATCGGGATCAGGATCAGGGCCAGAGTCAGGATCATGATCAGGATCAGGGTCCGAGTCAGGATCAGGATCGGGATCAGACTAAGGATCAGGATCAGGGTCCAAGTCAGGGTCATGATCAGGATCAGGGTCTGAGTAAGGATCATGATCGGGATCAGGATCAGGGTCAGAGTCAGGATCATGATCGGGATCAGGGTCAGAGTCAGGATCAGGACCAGGATTGCGGTCAGGGTCAGGATCAGGACCAGGATTGGGGTCAGGGTCAGGACCAGGATTGGGGTCAGGGTCAGGATCATGATCGGGATCAGGATCAGGGTCAGAGTTAGGATCATGATCGGGATCAGGGTCAGAGTAAGGATCATGATCGGGATCAGGGTCCCAGTCAGGCTCATTATCGGGATCAGAGTAAGGATCAGGATCAGGGTCCAAGTCAGGATCATGATCAGGATCAGGGCCAGAGTCAGCATCAGGTTCCGAGTCAGGATCATGATCAGGATCAGGGTCCGAGTAAGGATCATGATCGGGATCAGGGTCAGAGTCAGGATCATGATCGGGATTAGGATCAGGGTCAGAGTCAGGATCATGATCAGGATCAGGGTCAGTGTCAGGATCGTGATCGGGATCAGGATCAGGGCAAGAGTCAGTGTCAGGATCGTGATCGGGATCAGGATCAGGGTCAGAGTCAGGATCATGATCGGGATTAGGGCCAGGACCAGGATCGGGGATTACAGTCTTTTGCAGATTCTTCTCGTTACCTTGCTGTTGAGCTGGTTGAGGCTGTTGGTGATTTCAGGCGGGATTTCTCCTCCATGAGCCTTGATGTCATCAATGTCCTCTGTATTGACCTTAACCTGAAATCAGAACCCAGACCAGATTAAAAGCTGTGGGCCCAGAGGGACCAGTTCATCTACCACAGAACCCAGTCAGAATAAACCCAATTCCATTTGATCTGCTTTAAAGGAGCGAATAATAAACTTTCCCTGGATCATCCAGGAGCTGGAACAGTTGAAGCTGTTGTTGTCTCTCTCTGGGTGTGAATGAGTGGGTCTGGGGAGGCGGAGTCAGACATCCAGAGGGAAGCAACAGTGTTATGGTTTCAGAGCGTCTACAGGGATGACCTCAGGTTTTATTCAGACATCATGTGATGATGTTTATCATGAGGGACAGAAACAGGTCTGACTCCCTGACGTTACACATTTGAACCATCAGTTTATGGTTTAATGAGCAGACTGGGTTAAAGGACAAAGGAGAGATAAAATGAATCCTGTCTAATCACCCAATCCAGCTTCACTGTCATTATTTAGCCTGTAAGCCTTTAATTAATCAAACTGCTTCTATCCAGTGGCTCCTCAAGCAGCTGAACTTTGACCTCCCTGGGTGTGAGCCTCATCCTGTTAATCATTACAGACTTTATGGGAACCTTTTCAAATCTGATGAGACCAGATCTTTCCAGAAGGCTGAGCCGATGTTTTCCGTCCCAGTAGTTTGGTGTTCTCCTGGTTTCCTTCACTGACTCAGAAACTGTGACAGATGCATCATTAGAAAGGCTGCTCACCTCTGGACTAAACATAGAACTGCTTTTCTAGAGTTTAGGAACATTTTCTGGCATCAATCTTCAAGAACGTCTGTGAGAACTAAGGTCTTAGAGGAGCAGCTGCTGGAGCCACGGCCCAGCGAGCTGCAGGCCTCCACTGGATTCACCATCAATCCAGCTGCAGGTTACCACTGCATCAATCCAGTGGTAACCTGCAGCTCGCTGCTGGACTAATCCAGTGGTAACCTGCAGCTGGATTGATGGTAAATCCATATGAGGCCTGCAGCTGCTGGAGCCACGGAGCAGCAGGTGATCCTCTAAGGCCTCGGTGCTCCCAGAAGTGCTTGAAGCGTGATCCCCGGTGTGACGCTGACAGGTCCAGGGTCGTCCTGATGCGCCTGGTTTGGTCCGGGTTATTCTCTCATTGGTGGAAGCCAGAGATGAATCTGTTTCCTCTGCTGGATTAGATCAGCTGAACCTACCTGGCTGAGCAGCTGGATGAGGTCTTCATCTCCCACCTTGACCCGGCCGGAGGAGGACGGCTGGAAGCGGATGTCTTTGTTGTCCCCCGTGGTGAACACGAGGTGACCGTCGTCTGACTTGATGCGAGGCCTACAGACAGATCATCCCATCAGACACAGCTTCATGCAGGAGGTGGGCTCTAAAGGACCCTCTCCATCCACACTCACTGTGCCAGCTGATCGCTGTCCCTGGCCTCTCCTGGTGGTCTGTAGAGCAGCAGGAGGAGGAAGGCGAGCAGCCATGAGGGCTGCATTGCTCCGGCCATGGAGAAGGGTTGGTTGGTGCTCCGTCTGAGCAGTTCTACTGGAGCGTCCTGCTGTGCTGGGCTCTAATACTCACCTTTATGGCTCTGACCTGAACAGCAAAGCATAAAATCTGTTTCCTAAAGCCGTGGTGGTTTATCATTCTATGCCTCTCACATGACTCTCAGAGATCAGTAACCGGCTTCATGTGACGTTCTGAACGACACAAATAAAAACACAGCCTGAGCATCAGCTGCAGGCGTCTCTTCTATAACTACATCTTTACACTTTGCTCTCACCGTTTACATTCTACATTTATGAGATCAGGAGCAACTCCAGGATTAGATTCTCTGGATCCAGCAGTGAGTTTGTCTGCTGTGTGAGCAGCAGCTATAGGGCAAACATTAACTCCGGTCCTGAGACTGATAAAGAACACCTGCTGACTCCCCTCATGGTTTTCTGCAGTCAGCAGCAGCCTGATGAAAGGTGCCTGCAGGCAGGTTTATCTCCTAAACCACCATTTGTCCTTCATTAAAGACTGCAGAAAACCGACCGTCTGATGAATCAGGAAGACCACCTCGTGTTTCCAGGTCTGTCCTGTTCATAGACTCCTAACCCTGGATGGTTGTTCCTTACCTTCCTGAACTCCAGCTACTGAAGCTCCTCCAAGCCTGTTTTAATAAGGAAAGTAAAAGCAGGATAAAAACCCTTCAAGGCAGAGCTGGAGATGGCCAAAAGGCACGCAGGCGATGCTGACCTTCTACACCTCACTATCCACTAAACCCCCAGGCTTAATAAACCTCCAGTCCACCACCTCCGTCTCTGCAGGTCATCCTGCCGGGTCATTAGAGGTCAGGGAGAGGTCACTGCGGCCCACAGGATCATGGAACAGTTTGCCTCCAGCTCTGACCGCTGGTTCACAGGTAAACCTGCTGTCTAATGTTAGCCTTAGATGCTACGGTGCCTCTGATGCTCCATGTGGTCACGCCGGAGCATTAGCATGCTACTTCCTCTGGTCTAGCCAACCACAGGCTGGAACAGTTACTGGTGAACTGCAGCTGCTCCTTCGTTCCTCAACCTTCATCTCAGCTTCTGCTGCAGGACGTTTCCACCAGAGGATCACAGCAGATGCAGGAGGCCCCAGATTATCTCCACACCGAGGCTTTATTTCTGTCCTCTGATGACCTCCAAATGATTTTATTCTATTAATGGTGATTAAAAGGAAACAATGAATGTAGAGGCAATGAATTATCTCTACACTGAATATGGGGCTTATTTCAATACTTGTTTGAAAAGCTTAGATTAAACGCTAATTTTGGTTTCAGCACATTGTTTATTATTTATTTATTTATTATTTAGAGCCTCATGTGGCTGCAGAGTCTGCAGGACCTTCTGGAAGATGAAGAGCGAGTAGCATTCACTGACCTCCATGCTTCCTTCATCTAAATCATTTTGACTTCTTCAGACTGTCCAGGATGCCGCTGAGGCTCTGTCAGGACCGGGACTCCTGGACCAGCTCCTGCAGGCCTTTTTGGGACCAGATGTCCCTACTGGTGAATCTGTTGTTAATATAGAATAACAGCAGGATGTATTTAACTCTTTCAACCAAACCATGTCATTCCAATGATTGAGTTAAATAAACAGTATAAAAATGATACGGGATAAAATACTCTCTATTTCTGTGTGTGTGTGTGTGTGGGGGGGGGGGTGCATTGTTACAGTGACTGTAAAGAGAAAAAGGTTCAGACTGAAACAGAAATGTGTGTTTCATCAATATTCTCTGCTCTGGTCAAACTAAGGTGCAGCTCGGATTAGTTTGGTTCTAAAACGGAAGGCAGAGTAAAATAATCCTGCTTAGGATAAAAGAGACAGAAGATGGACCACAGACAGAAAGAGGAAGGTGGCAAGTGGAATAATTATCTTCTGTCCCAAATCCTGCTTGGCTCACACCACTAATCCACCCAGGAAAAGCAAGCGGAGGAAGGGCCAATTATTCCTGCTCTTCTCCACATGGATTCCCTCCGTCAGCTTTATGTGCCTCGTATCTCTAAACGAAACACACGCCTCACTTTACTGTGACAATGTTTACCAGATCCTGTGTAACAAAGGAAGCTCTGCTTCTGTTCTTCATTTATAGTCAAAATCTGAGCATTAAAGATAAAACAGACGTACTGTAATGAAAACATCCCAATCTGATGTCATTCTTTCATCTGTGGATTATTTCAGAAAACTGTGGCAACTATCAACATTTATTCTGAATAAAAAGGAAATAACTTCTATTTAGTTTTATGCAAACTAAAGTAAAATATATTTCATAGAATTAGAAATGTTCAGTTATTCCTGTGGTAATGGGATGTGTAATTGCAATGATCTCAGAATGTTGGACCCAGAATTGGAAGCGAGGCGGGCGGTGAGAAAGTTCAAAGCCTTGATTAAAACAGACAGGAGCTCATCAGCTGCAGGGGGATCTCTGCAGAGATAGGAGATACAGGTCAGTGACTGGATGTGGAGCTGATCACCACTTGGAGCAGAGTCACTGACCTGAGTCAAAGTTCAGTCCAAACGGGAGGTTAATCCCCTGCTTGCAGCCAGTTCCTACAGAGCGAGCAGCAACAGTGTCCTTTAAGGGAAACCAGAAGACAGGTCCAACTTTAGAAGCCAGTAGAATCCAGGAATCAGTCCAGAACAGATGCCAATAACAGAGCAGGCAGGGGCAAAGCAAACCAGGGGATCTGCAGGACAGAAACTGGTCCCAATCAGGGAAACCGAACAGAGTTCAGAAAGCAGAGTTAGTCTCACCAAACGCTTAAATAGACTGAACACCTTCTTTGCTCAAACCTCTGGACATTGTTCACTGGAAATTGTACTTCTCTCTGTATTATAAAGCATTTTCTAAAGCAAGTTTATTTTAAAAAAAGTATTTTCAACAACTTACAAAATACTCAAGAACACCATTAACATCAAAAATACAAATTAAACCGTAAAGAAATGGCTACAAAGCGTGATGTCACGTAGCATGTCTGTCACATGGTAGGTCCCTTTTTCATTTTGAAATCTTTATCAAATCTTTATTTAAAATTATATTCGTAACAAACTATCTAAAATAAGCAAAGATAAGGAATCATTATGGAGATGTATTTATCTATCCTTACACCTATTTATCTAAAAAAAAACATAAAACATGAATGAAATCAATATTTAGGAGACAAATGTACATTAAGAGCACTTTAATCCGTCCATTAATTATCATTAATTATCCTCACAGTGGGACAGATGTTTAGTCTATCGCAGATTAAGAACACAGATATTAACAAATACTTGCTGGAGCTGAAGTTCAAATAAAAGATTTTGATGTTGTGAATGGTACTCTTAAAATAAATAACTTAAAATCTAAAATATAAAAGCCTTTGGCTTATTTAAAAGGAACTTGATGGAAAAGAGGTTTGGTCAGTAAAACATTTAGTCAACAACTTTGGCCAACTTAGTTTAGTTTAGTTTAGTTTATTTTAGTTTAGTTTAGTTTAGTTTTATTAGGATTAGCGGCCAAATAAATGGCCACTAATGTTCCTGGGGTCCTCACATAAAGAAATTACATTATGAACAAACCATTAACATAAATTGCACAATAATAATAGGAACATGAAAAAGAGTAGAAATATACACCATAAATACACAGATCAGTTCATCATATCATCTGCAGTAGTTCTGAGGACGGTATCTTTTTGAAGCTTGTTCTGTTCTGGACTCTTGGTTACTGGCTGCTGGTTCCATACGGCTCGATGACACACTGTGGATTTAGATGGTTTGTTCTGGGAGTTTAATGTCTCCACCTAGTGCACGCCTTGTTACGTAATCATGACTTTTTTCAAGAAGGACTAAATGTTCAGCAAAACATGAAGGCTGTTGTTTAAAGAAAACATTCCATATAAATAGAAGTCTTCATTTAAGTTTATAGGTAACGGTTAACCATGACAGCCGTCTGTGCATTGAAGCCATCTTTGTTCTTTGTGAGCTCTGAAGGGCCGCCCTGCTTGGTGCAGCTGAAGCTTGTGAAGCTCACTCTGTGAAGCGGATGACCATATCACTCCAGATAACTCAGGACTGTACAACCTGTTCAGCAGCAGCAGCGGGTACGAATGAAGCACCACCATGGTAACGCCTTCACCCATTTTAGCCACATGAGCAGCCCAGTCAGGTGTGAGTCTAAGATGACTCCCAGTACTTAGTCTGCTTTACTTGCTTCAGCTGCAGACCGTTGACTAACAAACATAGTGAGGTTTCATTTTTTAATTTGTGATTACTTCCAAAAGTTTTTTCTATATTTAATTCCAATTTATTTTCTTTAATCCACCTGCTCACTTTTTCTAAATCCTAATTAATTAAATCTGACGCACGGTCAGCTGTGTGTGCTGCACAATACAATGTGGAGTCATCTGCATGCATAACTATAGTGGTATTCTCCATGCAGGGCAGATCATTTGTTAAAAATAGAGTATAAGAGTGGAGAGAGGCCGCTTCCTTCTGGTAATCCACCATGAAGTGTTTTACTGGACCAGTATTCACCAGTGAAAGATTCTCTCTGCGTCCTCTCTGAGAGGCAGCTGGCCATCCATCACAGAGCAGAGGGAGAAAATCCATAGCTTTCCAGTTCAACAATACTGCATGGGCATGCAATATTGGTCAATCAGATCAAAGGCAGCACTGAGATCTAACATTACTGCCCCACTAACCTGTTCAGGTCTGGTTCTTCCAGCCGTCTGTCTGTCATGAGAGTTAAAGCCGTGCAGGTGGAATAACCCTCTCTGATCGCATGCTGATAATGAGCCCATTGGTGGTGAAATAATTTAGCATCTGTTGGAATTAAAATGTTTCCATAATCTGGCTCATTAGAGGAAGAACGCTGATAGGTGGACAGTTAGCTCCTGTAAAAGCAGCTTTTTTATTGTTAGGTAACAGTGTAATTTTGGACTCCTTCCATTTACCTGGAAATACGGAGCGTGTAACGCTCTGGTTGAATATATGAGAAACTGGACGGACAAAGTTTTAGCAGC